CAGGCGGTAAGAACCGCCGTGCAAGCTCAGTCGCCCGCTGCTGCTCCGCTCGCTGCTGCGCTCCTGCTTCAGCCCCTGCGCTAAGTTTAGCGCATCAAAACAGTGCACTAGCACTGACCATGCCGTGCTGGCGAGGGAGAGGAGGCAGATACCGGTACTTATACCGGTGGGCAATGATCTGGCCTCAATGCTGCGAGGCCAGGCCAGACCCTGGACCGTCCAGATGGACGGTTCAGCCTCAATCGGCGGGCGGCAGCTTCAAGAGCGCCGCCAGGCCCAAACGAAGWGTCGTTTGGGCCTACCCGATGGGTGATAGTCCAAAATCAGGCCTTTAGGGCCTGTAACCCCAAAGGTCGGGCCTTGGTGTGTTCCTCCGGCCGTAAGTCGGGTCCGGTAGGACCCATGTGAGTCGAAGATGTAACAGTTCAGGACTCTTCGAGCATAGCGGAGACTCAAGTTTGGGTAACGAGCTTAAAACATTCCTAGACTTACCTGTGATAAAGAAAAACAACAAGTAAAACCATAAATCAACCAAAACTATGAACAGTGAAATATAAAGTTATCAATAGTTTAAATTGAACAAATCCACCTGATGAGTTTGAGGAGAGAAAATGTATGACTGAAAACAAAAAAAAACATTACGAATGAAGTTTTTGAACTTTTTGCAAGTGTGCCAAAAAAAAAAAATAAAAAAAAAATTCATGCGCATAGCATTCTCATACACAAACAAAAGTACGTATGAATATCCATAGTAAGGTTGCTCGAACCAACTCTAACACAATGAGGTTTACAGGGAGGGCAAGTTTAAACCAGATCTCCCACAGACTTGCGAATCCAGGTGCTGAGCGAAACACATTCCGAGATTTATATCTAAGTGGCAAAGGAGAACAACAAGTAAACCATAAATAAATAAAAACTATCAAGCGAGCTTTAGAGAGGGGACAAGTTTAAACCACCCCCTTCCGTGAATGTTGCACATCCAGGTGACAAGCGTAAGACTCTCCTAGATTTATATCTAAGTGATACAGGAGAACAACAAATAAACCATAAAAAAGAAAAAACACTATGAACCTAGGCCACCAGAGTGGCCTGGGGTCAAGGTACTAATGCCAAGGTTGGTCTTTTTTGGGGTCTTGCCAAGGTTGGTCTTTTTTGGGGTCTTGAAAGGCCAGCCCTGAAAATCCTGGAAAAATCAGAAAGTGAAAAGAGCAAATTTTGCATGAAAACAAACTCTTGCCTTCAGGTTTTAGGCCCCTCTGATCCTTTTTGTCACTTTTTTTTTTCTTTTTTACTCTGTTGGTTTATTTGTTTACCCCTCTATGGACTGGTTGCAAGTCCGGTTTAGGCCACCACTAGGGAAAGTGACCTTAACGACAAAACGTTCGGGGGTCCGTGTGAGGGTTGACAAAAACAATACATTTCGGCCTTCTGAGTCAAAAAAAAAAAAAAAAAAAAAAACTGCAGAGTTGAAAGGAAGGACATCGGGAAAAGCCACAAAGGTGGTGTCCTGACAGTAGTGCATCCACGAATGCATCTGCCCAGACTCATTGATACTAGTTTCGTTTTTCGCTTTTCGTGTTTATAATTTTTTTCGTCTACGTCTAGGCTACCAGCTGGGCCGCACGGGTCCCGGGTGGACAGCCCGGGCAGGAACAGGAAGGTCCCAGCAAAAGAAAAAAAGAAAAAAATCCAAAAAGCCCGAAAAAAAACTATGTTATGCAGAAAAATAAACTGGACAAGCTTTGGCTCAGGGTCACATTGAAATTCTTCACCCAACTTAGAAAAAAAAAATAAACTTCAAAAATATATATATTTTGGTATTTTTATTTTTTTTGACGCTGCCGGGCAAGTGACCCCGGGCCACTCTGGTAGCCTAGCGTTATGCAGAAAAACAAACTGATTAACTTTTGCCTCAGAGTCACATCGAAATTCTTTACCAAATTGGAAATAAAAAATGAAATTAAAAAATAATTTTTATTTTTTATTTCTTTTTGGCCCGGCCAGGCAAGTGGACCCGGGCCACTCTGGTAGCCTAGGTGCGCAGTGAAATTCCGGGTTGGCAAAACTCGGTGCTCGGTGGAACGCCTCTTATAACGACCCAGAAAAATCCGACGAAAAAATTATGGCTCTGTTAACCTGTTCTCTATCCATGGAAACAAAATTTCACACTTTTATTCCTTTTCGAGGATAGAGTAACGAGACCAGAACGAAAGGAGTTATTGTACACATCCCTGGCAAGACTCCTGTGATGCGGATGCTCCGTTTTCCGAAGCGGGAAACCGTTCAAAAAAAAAACAGCGCATCCGAAGTGGTGCCAATTTCGTGCTGACATCCCTGGCGTGGGAAACCGTTCCAAAAAACAATTTCGCCATCCTCCGAAGTGGTGCCAATTTCGTGCTGACACCCGCGGCGCGTTGTGTGGTGTACTGGTGTTTTCAACTTCAAACCACCAGTACTTCCGGCCTCAAACTGCCTTGTCGCAGGGGCCCCTACTGGTGCTTTCTTCCGGGGCTGGAAATGCTTTGTTGCACTACCAGCGCGACGTTTTCATTTTTCTTTTGTCTCGCATCGCCAGCCATTGTGGTCCAGTCGCCCCCAAAAGTCCAGTTAATGCGGCATGTTCACGTCAAGGGCCCACGGCTGATGTATGGGCCAAGTAGTGGTGGTTTAATCACGAGGTGCAGAGCACAAAAAAGTCATAATGGGATGCGTCTTTTTTGTACACATCTGAGCAGAATCCAAAACATTTCTCGAGCACAACTCACCCAAAAGAGTCTACGCAGCCGCCACTTTATGTTAATAGGATATTGTGTACATTTATTTGAAAGATCTTTCAATGTCAATGTCAAACATATTTAAACATAAACCATATAGTATAAATGTGGAAGATATAAAAATAGAGAATATATATGAAAAAGAAATCTAATATTATATCATTAATAATTTAATATTATAGTATTTTCAATGTTTTATTATACAACACAGGGCATTGACTTTTTTCGTATGCATGGTTACGATATCCTCGATATCATTACTTTGTCATGTACAAAGTACAACAAGATGCATTTGTGCATACAGCTCTTGAACAAGTACGAGTGTATTTTTATGACTATCTGAAGATTCCGAACTACTCAGCCATATGATATGCTCAGGTTGGATAGCAAACCGAATTTCAAGAAGAATGGGTGCGGCACAAACTACTTGCAGCACCCACACGACTTCCAGTCTGCCACACAGCAAAGAAGAGAACAAACATCGTTGTTATGGCACCCACCCCATTGTTTGGACTTCAGAAAAGCTGGAAAAAGACCCTCCCGCAGTTGGCTCGCATAACTATATTCACTATAGCATCACAACAACTGGTAATAATGCCAAAGGTGTTCAAAGTGGCCATGCATCACAGGGACAACACATGGCATAGACCAGATTAAAGTCCGAGACTGGAGCCAAACACAGTCTCTCCATTTCTTCACAATCTATACAGTGCACTTCACAACAGTGGGGACCACCTGCGGGGACCTGCATCGAGATGGGAGAGGCACACATAATTGGTCCTGCAACCACGCATGGCACGGAAATTGTGAGGCATGGAAGCCTTCGGGTGTGTGTTGGGGGATTCCGTGCGAGGGACGGAAGCCTTGGGGTGTGTGTTGGGGGCACAGCATGGGTGTGGGATGGGAGTCAAATAAGAGAGGCCTCTGCTTCCCGTTGCGCCTTTGGCTCCACTCTGGCGATAGATCAGACGCGAAGCGTCTGCTCAAGTACAAATGCGGGTGCTGCCTCCAGCAAGCAGTTTCGGAGTTCGAGTGCCCACTTCATTCGCTGGCCGTAAACACAACTGCACGCCGGTTAGCATCTGTGTGAGGGTTTGCCTGCATGTGCCTCAGCAGAGGGGAGGAAAGTGGGACTTGTTCAGCAAGGCACCGTTTGTCATACATGGGGCCGAACAGGACACTAGTCGTTTGCCAGAAACTTCCTCTCTTCACTCACATTCACTCACATGGCGTTCAGTGTACAAATCCGCAGAACGAGTTCCCCTTGTAAAGGCGTGGCGTCATAACAACCACCATAATTCGAGCTGTCGTATGTTACAATAAGCAGCAGAGCACTTGTCTCACCGTTTGAATCGTGGCTGTGCACAACGATGCTAGCTGGGCTGTACCCCTTCTCCGTTAACATTTGTTGGTAAAATCCTCTGGCAACGGCCGTAACTCGCACAATTCCACAGACGACGCCACTTGCACGATTCCACAACGCGTTCAAGAGGCATGCCCATCAACTCTGGCGATGGCATCATGACAGCAACTCCGAAACGAGGTACATCGTCAACTCCATTTCGGAAACGAGGAAACGAGGTACATCGTCAACTCTGCGTTTCCGCAATCGGTCCGTACCTCGTTTCCTGATGTCGAAACGCAATTATGACAGCATGTATATATTACACAAGGCCAAACATTGGCCCCTCGGCAGAAGTGGGCAGCCAACATGACGATGAAATACACCCGGAGCTTTGAAACATATAATGTCTCATCGTCACCATAAGTCACAGCAAACCATGCTTTTCCGTGAGGGCAACTGACTTGCTGAACGGGGAATGCCATACACCACAAATCTGGAGATCGAATCTTCAACTATCTTAAGACAAACTTCACATAACCACTGCTACACCCATGCATCTCCACCCAAAAATGCGATCCTTGACTTGTACAAATGCGATCATCCCTCGATGAACACCCAGTGAATGCAACATACACGCCATCTCAACAAGAGAACGCTACTTGCATTTACATCTTTAGCCATCCTGAGGGTTGGTACATCCATCCTTAGCACAAAGAGCCTGTGACCTTTCCATCACTTCAAAACTCTCCGGAATCAAAACATTAATTGTCGACGAAGAAGGGATTGTCAGATTTTGAACTGCTTACCTTCGCCATATCACCACAATTCCAACTGCAACCAAGCAAAGGCAGCATTCCTAGGCATCTGACGCATTTCTTCGCATCAGAAACTCCTAAAAGTCGCTTGCATTTGACTCTTCCCACCCTCCATGCCTCTCTTTCATCTCCACCCCCAGGTCCTCCGCCATTGGGGACATTCTTCACAAATTCATTCATCATATCAAGAACTCCTAAAACTCACCTGCGGTTGACTTCTTGCATACTCCATGCATGCCTCTCCCCATCCCGAGTACTGCGCTTAGAAGAATACTTGCTGGCTCTCGCAAAACAACAAGATAGGATGCCGTCAGAACACTCTGAAGGGTAGAAATAAACACAAACACAATTTCAGAGTCTGCACATGCACCAGAGCAGCGATGAATTACGGTTGAAAACACCAAGCATGCGTGTGCATGCATGCACAGAAATGCACTGACACGGACACGCACACTCGCACACACGAGCGCAGGCGAATTCATTCGTATGTCACAGCTGGAAATTCTTAACAAGTATGGGCCAAAATGCAAAGGGTGGGCTGAGCTGAGACACTTTTCCCTTCTGAGCCACCAGTGCCTCTAGGCACTCCTGTTCCTGAGGCAGATTTGAGCTGCTGCACGTCAAAATCAAAACAAACCAGTGTGGCAATTCTTTTCTTTCTGCCTGGCTTCACTAGCCAAAGAGGTCCACTACGCCGATCTCACAAAAATCAGTGTTAAGACCGAAACAAGTGGGAATACAACCCTAGATGTCATGGGATCTAAGGTGATCAGGGCCACTTGTTAACTCCTTGAAACCCGCCTCATATGTTTTACAGCTGCAAACGAGAACGTTAGCTGGCCAAATGCAGAAATCAGTCTTCAAGGGATGTGTCACATCACAAGGGGAACGTAGGCCCCTTCTCTTAGCACAAAGGACGATGCTTGCCGTTTCCGAATTCAGGACAGCCCACGAGACACACAAGCTCCTGCAAGAAAGATTGACTGCCCGCCCAGCTGAAGCACATCCACCATGAAAACACCTGCCTCAAAAACCACCACCACACACTTCCACCTAGAGCCATGCAAGCAGAAATATGAGATCAAGATAACATCAACTTAAAACCGAACATGAATGTGCCTGACTTGGACCCCCCTAACATGCCTCAGCGCTGTTACATTGAACATCATGCTGATCGGGAGCTAATATTTCTGTAGCAAGCGTGCTAAGGATCAAATACTCTCCCCCACCTCTCTCTCTCTCTCTCTCTCTCTCTCTCTCTCTCTCACACACACACACACACACACACTCTGCAGCATCCATCTCTCCCTCTTTCTCTCTGTCTGCAAGCGTGTCTCTTGTACCTTACCATCGACCCTCCCCTGAGCATTGTTCTCCCTCACAACCCCCCATCCCCCGCCCGCCCCCCCCCCCCCCCCCCCCCCCCCCCCCAAATTGTACATAGGATATACTTTGCCCCATTGAAATCCTGAGATCTGAAAAACAATGATAACAGGAAGCCCGAGTCCTCCAATGTCAGGTGGCATAGCAATCTATTCCTTCAACCAACAAATGCAAAGCAACTCTGACATTCGCACTATGCTGATCAGAAATATGAAGCAAAGGCAAGCTGTACCCTGCCAGCAAACTCTCTCTGCAATCGATCACAGAACTAGGTTCTCTCTTCAAGCTCATGCTGTTTGAGCAGGTGTGTTGTGATGTATGCTATCAAACAACTCAAAAGGAAGCCATGACCGCACCAGACTATATCCAACGACTTTCACGGACTCATGCATACTTGCCTCTGCGTGTGTCTGTGTGTTGGGGGGAGAGAGAGAGAGAGAGAGAGAGAGAGAGAGAGAGAGAGAGAGAGAGAGAGAGAGAGAGAGAGAGCTCCATCTATGCCCGAACATGAAGTGGGCAGAACTTTCCAAGCCACACATACGATCTTGCCTACAAAACGAGAGGCATCATACTGCCGAAGCGATCATACTAGCTGTAAGGCGACTATTGAGCACCCCGATCAAGCAAGTAAAACTAGCTTTGTGCATGGATGATTGCTGTCCCGTGCAATGTCATAGACAGCAGCCACTCTCATATCCCTACTACCTCCTACGTGCATAGCACTCCTATCTACTCCATCCACAATAAAAACGTAAAAAGCAATACAGCGGCTCTCAGCCCTGCAATATACCCATTACCAGCTTCAAAGTAATCATAACAAGATTCAATAGAATCAAAACAGGGATTCCAAAGTCTAATTGCCACGGTTTTCCATCTTCCCCACTTTCATTACCAATCCCATGTTCAAGCCATCGCTGCTCATCTGGTCCTTGCCACCGCTCACATATCTATCTGAAGGGTGAGACTGATAAGAGAGAGAGAGTAAGGAAAACCTGCTGAATGTCATTTGGGTGCTCAAACGACAACCTATATTCCGACAGCGACTGTTGCACGCTCCAATTCAAACGGGTCAGCAGCTACTGTGCTTCCACATGCCAGACCAACAGGCAGGGGACATCATCATCAGGTAACTAAAAGATACGCACCCACTAGGATCGTCTCCATTCTCCCTCCTGCTTCAGAATGGAGCACAAACCCCATCCATCTCTTACAATCCTCATATTGTCATGGATTCAGTTGCCACATCCTACTAATCGCCGCTCTCTATGCCCCAGATGTACAGAGAGGCTCTACCTACAGTCCTACAGACACATCCCCACGATAGTACCGCCGCCACCGCAAATGTAAATCATAATGTACTGAAATCCAGTGGAATCTCTCCTGGCCAGCACAACCCTCTCCGATGCTCTCTCCAAAGGGCAACGTTACCTACCAACAGCAACAGCAATGCTTACCTCAATCACATCTTTCCATGCTCAACATTGCCCCTACTGCCACCGTCGCAAACCAGTACCACAAGAGGAGAATTGGCATGTATCCTCGTCTTGAAGTTCTTCCGGAACCGCCTCATTCTGCCTTCTCTCACAAACCAAACAGTCTCATTAGCGATCATGTCGTTCAAGTCCGATCGTCTCCAATTTCCCCGTGAGCCCACGTAGCTCAGGTGGTAGAGCATTCCCTTGGTAAGGGAAAGGCCTCCGGTTCAAGTCCGGTCGTAGGCACAAATCGGAACTCCACCCTGGTCGCTATCATTAGCTATCCCCATGACAGCTACAAAAAACGTAATTCTCTCCGAACGCCACCCTGGTCAAGAAGAAATCTTTCTCCGCTCCTCTAAACATTGCTCCTCTACAGTCTCATGTAGATTACACACAGATCCGGATAGAAATGATCTCATGCCTCCACTAAAGAGGCCAAAAATCGAAGGCACAGTCCAGAGGACTCCACAATCGAGCCTAAGCAGCCCTATCAGCTGCAGCTGGAGCAGGATCAGCACCAGCACGTAAAAGAGCAAGGGACAACATGATCTTCACGACATTGTTTCCGTCAAAGCTCGTAGTTTGCAGACATGTCTGTCTACACCACTACCTCTGCTCGAAAAACTGCCTGTGAAAAGGCCAGTTGAACCAATTCGAGTATTCTAGGCAGCAGAGTAATCCACAGACTCACATAGCCCTTTGCATGTAAAAAAGAAAACTCCCTTGCCTACACTTCTGCAGCATGCCAAAAGGGCAGCACAAGGACGGGACGGGCGTTGTGTTGACATCAGCAGACAACAATGTATTGATGCCTCCAAAATTCAACCAACCAATTAGCACTCTATTTCCATTACGCCAACAAGCAAAACTACCACTCGAACTCACCTGTTCGCACAGCGCTCTCCACCAACCAGGATTGAACCTTCGACAAGATGACATAACAACCGCTCTCCTGTTCTCACAAACTCTTTGTCACGCGAGATACCAGAAAGCTTTAGAAACATGGCCACCACTGCTGGCCTCTTCCTGACCCACAACAATTCCTGCCCGAAGACACCCAACTCCTGACCATATCCTGCAAACTTAGTGCAAGCATGCTTGTAAAGGCAAGGCAAGGAAACATCGAACATTCATGTCACGACTCACCTGCATTGCAACTTACCATCCTTGAAAACTCTCAATATTATTGACTCCAAGCTGCCAAATGCCTGAGGTCCTCGGGCATTGATCCTGTGCTGGCAATTATATTCCAGCTGCCAAATGCACATCACTCTAACCCCCAAGGACATTGGGATGCAAGCTCCTGGCAATACTCACAGGAGCTGAAGGCAACGGACACTGCATGAAAAGCTAGTTGCAATGCATGGCAGCTCTGCCCCATTGCACCTAGACAACAACCTGAGCCAACGTTATGCGCTGCATATACTACTCCCCATACCGACTGGATCATCAAAGCATAGACCACCGCTTGTAAACAAGTAGGTAAGCCTCGTCATTATCCAGTACCCGATGCTGGGGAACACTTGTCACATGACAATCATCAAATCGTAGCCATCGATTATCACCCTGCTTTGCATCTGTTGTGTAGTGCCCAGTAGCTGCGTCCTTCCCATGATGAGACACAATGGAAACCAGCTCATACTGCCGTACCTGCAACAAAAAATACAAGCCAACGTGCACTTATTACGTCAGTAATTGGCAAGCAGAACGCAGAGGAATCACAAAAAACAAGGGTACCTGTTGCAGCTTTGCCCGCAAAACATGAAAAGAAAAAGCATAACAAACTGTCCCATCATCACATAAAACACGTTTACAGGAAAACAGGAGGGCATACCACGGAACCTTTTTATTGTTTTTGCTGCGAGTGTTGTGTTTGGGCAGCTGTCACCTTTTCAGCATGTTTTTTTGTTTTCTGTTGTGTGCTACGACCCACAAAGCTTCAGTCTAAGATCTGTGTTCGTTTCTAAGAGACGGCTGTGCTAAAGATTCCGACTCTGAGTTCGCTTGCTGTCCTTGATGAATATGTTTGTGATCAACCGATCTCAAATGTATGCCATGAGCTCACTTGTTGAGTTTGGACACTGTCTGTGTGTGCAAGTGCATGTGTGTGTCAGTCTCAGCTTGGTGCATGTGTGCCGTTCAATAATGCTTGGCGATGGGCCCGGGGAAGTTGTCGGAGGTCGTCTTCAATAATAAGAGTGCCACAGATATTAAGCAGGTGTTGTAATGTATGATTAACATAATCAGCACCGAATCCGCTTGGCAGTTGCTGTTCGTGGGGGAAGTTCTTGGAAGTGAAGTGTCATTTGAGCCATAATTCCAGGCACAGTGGGCGTGCATCTTGGAGCATTTCCTGGTTTGCAAAAGCAAAAGACAAAACCGAGCATCACATGTCAGCATCATATAATTAACAGCCTGGCAGAATCTCTCTCTCTCTCTATCTCTCTCTCTCTCTCTCTCTCCCCCTCTGTACTCAACCCCACCCCTGCCCTCCTTCCTCCTTCACTCCACCCTCTCCCTTTGGCCTTTCCCCCCTCCTTCCCTCCACCCTCTCCCTACCAGACTTCTCCCTCCGGCTTTCCCCTTCCTCTCGGCCTCCTCCCTACCTCCTCTTCCTCCTCATGCTCTTCCTCCCCCATTCCCCACTCTGCTCCCTCCCCCCCCCTCGCCTGACCTCTTCACTCCCTCCGTACTCCACCCAACCAACCTCTGCCCTCGCTCATGCTTCCCTTTCCTCTCCCTCGGCTCGACTTCTCCCTGCCGTCTGTCCCCTTCCTCTCTGCCCCCTCCCGACCTCCTCTTCAACCTCCTCCTGACCATCTCCCTCCACTTCTTTCCTTCGCCCAATCTCCGTCTGACCTCCTCCCCCCTATCTCCTCCGTCCCCTTCCCTACACCTGATCTCCACCTCCACCTCCCGACCATCTCCCTCCACTTCTTTCCTTCGCCCAATCTCCATCTGACCTCCTCCCCCCAATCTCCTCCGACCCCTTCCCTACACCTGATCTCCACCTCCACCTCACCTTCCTTGCACGAGTTCCTACCCTTCCACCCTTCCTCGGCCCAATCTCGACCTGACCTCCTCCCTCCATTCCGCCCTCCACCCAACTGCAGTTCATTTTTTTCATTTCTTTCAGGTGGACCTAAACGCTGCATTCCTTCTCTCTCTCTCTCTCTCTCTCTCTCTCTCTCTCTCTCACACACTTCCGTGTGCGCGCCCATAAGTGCATTTTTTTTTAAATGGTCTCGATGGACCACGGAGCAGATACCACATGTCATCGCGGGGGGAGAGGAAGTGTGTAGTTCGTTAGAATGGGGTCTCTCTCTCTCTCTCTCTCTCTCTCTGTGTGTGTGTGTGGGGACCACGGATCAGATTTAAAACTGATCGGAGCAGATACCACCTGTCATCGTGTAGGGGGGGAAGCGCGTAGTCAGTTAGAATGGGGTCTCTCTCTCTCACACACACACACATCCACTTTATTTCTCTCTCTCTCTCTCTCTCTCTCTCTCTCTCTCTCTCTCTCTCTCTCTCTCTCTCTCTCTGTGGACCATGGATCAGATTTGAAACTGATCAGAGCAGATACCACATGTCATCGTGTAGGGGGCGAAGCCCGTGCGTAGTCAGTTAGAATGGCGTCTCTCTCTCTCTCTCTCTCTCTCTCTCTCTCCTCTCTCTCACACACACACACACACACACACACACACAAACACACACACACACACACACACACACACACACATCGACTTTATTTCTCTCTGCCGTGTCTCTCTCTCCCTCTCTCTGTCTCTCTCACACACACACACACATCGACTTCCTCTCTTTCTCTCTCCCCCGCACGGGCGGGTCCTCGTGCATTTTTTTTCTATTTGTGTTGTTGAAAGGACTCGATGGACAATGGATCAGATATGAAACTGTTCCGAACAGATACTATCATAGCACAGGGGGGGGGGGGGCAGTTAGTTAGATTGGGCTCTCTCTCTCTCGTGCACGGACTCGCTCGCTCATTCGCTTTCATGTATGCTCCCGCGCGTCATTTTGTTTTAGGGGTCTCGATGGCCCACGGATCATATTTGAAACTGATGAGAGCAGATACCTATGAAACTGTACCAGTGCGCTTAAGGACCTCGCCCCCGCGCTCAAAGAGCTTTCAGCCACGCGCGCTTGTCAAAAAAAGAGCACGCGCATCTCATGGGGTTCCGCGAGGGCAGGGAATGTTGAGGGGGCGGTTGTGCGGAAAAACAGAGTTGCATGGTTGGGGCCCTTGGAGGTGATTTTTTGGGGGGAGGGGGGCACTGGGGTGGAGTTGGTGGGATTAGTTCAGCTGTGACCCAATCTCTCTCTCTCTCTCTCTCTCTCTCTCTCTCTCTCTCCACGAGTGCGCACTTCAGCGGACGAGCGTGCACAAGTGCAAATGAATGCACGCTCATCCTCCCAGCGCTTAAGACCGTGGTCTGGACCTTTCTGGCCCTTTTTTTTTTGGCCAGCCACACAGAGCTGGAGGTAACACGTCTATTGGGAGCTGCCCAGCCCTCCCCTCCGCCAGCCCCGCCGCCGCCTGTGACCCTGAAACCCCCCTCCCAGCCCTCCACCCGCCAGGAACCAGCCTGCCCGCGAACGCGCTCAAGCCGCTCAATGCACGCTCAAGCACGGATTTGAGCAGCGCTGAAAAACTCGAGTGCCGCCCACGCGCTCAATCAGCGCCCGGTTTCATAGGCAGATACCACATGTCATCGTGTAAGGGAAGGAAGCACGTAGTTAGTTCGAATGGGATCTCTCTCTCTCTCTCTCTCTCTCTCTCTCACACACACACACACACACACACACACACACACACACACACACACACACAAACACACACACACACA